CGGTCACTCCCCTGGTCACTGCCCCGGCCACAGGGATGGTCACAGGTACGGTTTACTCAACACCCCCCTCGGCGTGAGCTGGAACCTGCCTGCCGCAGACCCTCAACGCTCCCTGCTTTAAGCTTCCCGGGTGGGTCCGTGGTGGCCTCCTGACCATGCCGAGGGCGACACACAGTGGCAGAGCGGCCTGCAGCGCCGGGCAGACGCGCCACGCGCCACGTGCCACGCGCCACGCGCCAGCCCCTGCAGTTCTGCTCTGTCCTCTAGGGGCGCTCAGCGGCCGTGGGGTTGCTTTGCTGGGTTTGGTCTGTGTCTGCAGAGCAACCAGCGTGACGGGACCCAGTGGCAGGGGCGTGGGCGTAGCCCGATGAGCCCCACCCTGAGCCTGCCAGGTCAGCAGCCGGGCCACCAGCCCCCAGAGGGGCCCCTCCAGCCCAAGCTCTGATCCAACCACCCCAAGGCCACTGACCTAAAGGCAGGGAAGGCAAGTGCAGTTCCCCCTGCTCCCAGGCAGGCCTCCCACCCACGAGGCTGGGACCCCCAAAGTGCCAGGTGACGTGCACCCAACCCCCCCAGAAGCGGCCCATATGGGCTGAAGGGAAGCAGCCAGGCAGAACCTCAGGGGCCATACCACCCAGACATACAGACACACACACTGACAGGCAGACACACAGACAACACAGACGCAACAGGACAGACACACAGACTCAACAGTCAGGCCCAACACACACCCAACAGACAGACACACAGACTCAGCACTCAGACCCAACACAGACACACAGACAGACTCGCAGGCAAACTCAACGCTCAGACTCAGCACCGACAGACAGACACACAGACGGCGGAGGGTGGAGAGTACTCGCTGCACCCCGGGGCTCCTGCTTTGGCCTCGGAGCCGCACAAGTTCCTGTTTGAAGCCTCCCGCCGCCAGTTCCCACGGGGCGGGCAGAGGCGTCCTGTCCTGGTCAGAGCAGCCAGGACGCAAAGCTCCGGGAGGATTGCAGAAACTTTGTTTAAAGTTTACACATAGTAACATCACAACAAACAGACGCTGCCATGACGACAGGGTCCAAACAGAGGCCAGCGGGTATCCGGGGCTGGCGTCGGGCCCGGAGCCACGGCAACCAGCCGTCAACAAAGCAAGTGACCAGCCATCAGGCATGTCACAGGGCATGTCAGGCAGCACCCACACTGGCCCATCAAGGCCTGCCACGCCCCTGGGCAGGGCAAGTGTGTTTCTGCCACCCTGAGACCAGGGGAGGCCCCAGTGGCCTCAGGCATCACGTCCCGGGGCACCCAACACCAGAGGTCACAGCTGTCACACAGCTCAGGGGCGAACCGGCCCTGGCCAGGCCACCCTGGGAAACCCCACTCCAAACTACCAAAGTGAAATAGCCCCTCCTGCCCCTTGTCCCCTGCCCCCCGACCTGGTGACCTTGCTCGGTACTCCACCTCCTCCAGCAGGGCCCCATGCACTGCGGTCCTGGGCCCCACCATCCCAGACACCCTCGGGGCCCTCTCTAGTGTACCATCCCAACCACAATGACCACACACCCACCTGCTGAGGGTGCTAGAACGTTAGTTCTGCTTGTGTGTGCATGCATGTGTACATATGTGTGCATGTATGTACAGTCCCCGTGTCCACGTGCACAAGCTTGTGTGCACATGTGCACGCAGGTGTGTGCATGTGTATACTGTGTGCGTGTGTGGGTGTCTGCATGTGCATGGATGTGTGTGCATGCAATGTGTGTGCACTGTGCATATCTATGAATGCGTGCAGATGTATGAGGCATGTATGTACATGTGTATACACCAGCACACATGTGCATGCGCTGCATGTGCGTGCATGTTTGTGTGTGGTACAGCCTGAAGGCAATCTGCAGCAGGAATTGTGGGCGATGGTAAGAACACTGGCATCAACACTCGCCCCAACACAGTGCAAGCTTGAGAATGAACAGGGCCGTGTAGTCAGGGCGAGGAGCTGCAGCAAAGCCGTCCTGCCTGGACCTGCCCAGCTCTGGGAATCCTGGCCCCGGCGGCAAGCCCTGTGCATCCCGGCGAGCGGGGACGGCGGCCCGGGACGGGGATGTGCCAAGCGCATGCACCGCCCTCGTGGTCCGTGGCTACATGGCTGGCCTAGCTGCCTCTCTGGGAGAGCGTGGTGGGGGCGTCTGTGTAGCCAGGTGGTGGCCGTGGACACCAGCGCCCCCACCCGTCCGTACAGCATCCTTAGTGCCTGTGTGGGACTGAGCCACCAGGGCTCAGGTGGGCGGCCTGCACATGCTACCGGGCCGTCCGCTAACACCCACATCCTGACGCCAAGTGAGCGACGAGGCTGAGTGCCCCCCACACCCGGCTCCCAGAGGCCGGGGGTCCCCATCCCCAAGGAGCCCAGGAAGGCAAGTCAAGACCTCAGCCTCAGGCAACCATGGGGGCCTGTGGCCACAGACCCGCCCCCCGGCTGCTCGGGAAGGCTGAAGGACTCAGGGAGACTGCTTATCCACAGGCTTCCTCAGGAAAACCTGGTGCCCAGATCCCCACAGCCCCCAGCCCGGAGACACCAGGGAAGAATCAGAGCTAGAACCCCCACTGTACTCGGGAGATGCCCAGGGCGGCCCTGCCGGCGCCTCCACTGCAAGGGCACGGCACCTGCGGCTGCAGCTGTTGTCCTGGGGCTTGTCCGGAGGCTGATCCCTTCCAGCACTGCTCCTGGCCCAGGGACCCCACCTCCCCCGGCCCAGGGGCCCCACCTCACCTGGACCACAAACCCCACCTCCCCCGGCCCAGGGACTCCACCCTCACCTGAGACCAGAGACCTGACCTCACCTGAGACTAGAGACCCTGACCTCACCTGAGACCAGAGACCCCAAGCTCATGTGAGACTACAGGCCCCCCTCAGCAGGACAAGGGACCCACTGTGCCCACGAGCTCCCAGGCCTGGCATGGGTCCCGGTGTCCTGGCTATGGCTGTGCCTTCTGGCAGCAGAACCTCTCGAGTAACCCCGACTGTGCCTCCCCTTTTGAAAGCATTCCCCCTTTTTAAGGACAGTGTGAACCGGAAGTCCTGTTTGTTTACTGAGGAAACTCTAACATACACTCAGGCAGCAAGCAAAGAATTCCTGCCTGGAGAACTGGCACGGAGCCAAGCACTGCCGGGGTGTCAGAGCCTGCCGATGCTTCTAGATTGTTCTCTCCCTAACCACAACCACCACCTGTGAATGTGGAGACAGAGCTGCATGTGTGTGCACATGTGTGCAACACCCGTAAACACACACGCTCACACCTATGTGGGCAAAACGCGTTCCTGGGCCAGGAGGTCAAACGTGCTCCGTCACGTGAAACCGAGCCCACCCTACCACCGCCTCCTGGAGCTGCAGGCAGACAGTGGGTGTCAGGGATGGTGGGGCGAGCCAGCATGGATGTGTGCTCGGGCCACCCCACCTCCTATGGCCATACAGCCTGCACGGCTGCTTTCCCGCCAGCCTCTCAAGGGCTGCGGGGCCCACAGGAGCAGAATCACCTGTTGCCCACATGTCCCCACAGCATCAGTGGGAAACCAAGGGCTGAAAAGCCTGGGGACCCACCCCAGCCAACGTCACACCCCTTCCAGCATGGCTTTCCAAAGACATGCACCACACACGTGACAGCACAGGGAGAAGCAGCCAGAGGGAGGCCGCCCCACCTCGGGCAGATGCCTGGGCCACCACCCAAGCGGAGGTGGTCAACTCACACCCAGCCCCAACCATGCCATAAAGCCAGGGACCCTCAATCAACTCACACCCAGCCCCAATGCCACGTCACAAAGTCAAGGACTCATGATCGGTTCAAACACAACGACCCACAAAGCCAGGAACCTGTGGGCCAGCCCCAGGCATCATGAAAGAGCATGACCCATTCTCCTGAGGGAACCCCCGGGTGTGGCCCTATCCCACCCACATACCTGCAGTACCCCCGGGTGTGGCCCCTCCTCCCACCCAGGCACCTGTGGGACTCCCACAGTGGGACACTCGTCCCCACCTACACACTGGTGGGACCCCCCAGGGGGTGTTCCTTTCCCCCCACACATGCCCATGTGACCCCCGGGGTGCAGCCCTGTCCATCTCACCAGCCTGGCCCCTTTCAGAACCGAGGCCGTGAAGGAGAGGGGGCAGGGTATCTGAGGTGAGAAACAACTAATAAGCCAGATGCAGCGTGTCCAACTCAGGACGCACGGCCAAGCAGCATGAACGAAGCGGGGACAAGCACGTCACTCCAGCAACACGGAGACTGTGACAGGGTGGCTGTGACTCTCAGGTGTGACCATGGAGCTGAGGAAGTAAGGTGACACCCTTGTGCTTCAGAGACACTGTGAAGTGTGCGGGGCAGGGGGGCGTAACACCACAACTTACCCTAAATTTCCAGGTCAAGGATGCACGAACTGGCACACACACGCACACACAGACACAAGCACACACACAAAGGTACAATGCACACACACTACACATGTGTACATGTACATGCACACATGAGACAAGCAGACGTGCTACACATGTACACAGACATGCACACAGGAGATAAGCACACACGAACACACTACATGTGTAGATAGATATACACACATGCATACATGTAACACATGTACACACACATACAGGAGACAAGCACACATGCACGCACACACCACACACAGGGATACACATGCACACTTATGCACACACACAAGAACACGCCTGCCCGCTGGGACACACTGCACACACATACACCACACAGGGCACAATGCTAGTGGCTGCAGAAGCACTGGGGCAGACACACTGCCCTGAACCTTGTCTTCACCTCCCCGCATGTGGACACTTTCACAGTAAGACGGGGGCAGAGTGGCAGGACAGGTAGCAGGGCCCCGCTGCATTGGGGTGTCCGTGGCAGGACAGGCAGCAGGGCCCCACCACGTTGGAGCACCCACGGGAGAAAGGGGCAGCAGGCCCCGCCATGCTGGGGTGCCCCCTGGCCAGCCCCGCACTCACTTAATCTTGCTGAAGACGATGTCCACGTCGGTGACGGTCACGTTCTTGCCGTCGATGACCTGGCAGTCCCGGCACAGCTTGGACCAGTTCTTGCCGTGCATCTCGCGGCCCGTGGCCCGTGGGTCCCCGTGCACTGCGAACCTGCGGAAGGCCTCCTCCAGGGCGCTGAGCTCTGGGGCCGCTGCCGCACCCTCCAGGGCGCCTTCCGACTCCTGCGAGAGCCGCTTGGCTGCTCTGTCCCTCGCAGGGTCCCCTGGAGACTTGGGGGGCGTCTTGTTGGCTGCCTTGGTGGGCTTGGCCTTGCTGTCGGCCATGCTGTGGGGAGGGGGAAGAGAAGGGTCATGGGCTCGTCCCATAGGCGCTCGGACAGACCAGGGGTGAGACACCAGACAGGAGAGATCTCCGGCCAGTACCCTGCCCCCGGCCCTCCTTGGCCCAGCTCCTAGTCAGCAGGAGGGTGCCAGCCAGCTGCCTGCTGGGCACGCAGGACAGAGGTGCCGCACCCTCCCAGCACCCACACCCCCACCACTGATGGGGCACCACTGGGCAACGTGCAGGCCCACCCCCAGGGTCCCTAGTACCCAGACCCCTCACTCATCTCTGCCCCACTGTCCCTCCCTACAGGAGCCTGTGGCCCCCCCCGGGCAGCCATGGGTGCCGTGAGGAGGTAGGTGTGAGGCTGCCTGCAGAGGTCACTGGGAGGGGAGCCTGCATGTGTGCGTGCA